TCCTTTTATTATTGCCTCTAGGGCATATTTCCAACAAGAACCACCGAAGGGGGCCCCTGGGTGAGCACAACCCACCAGGGCGGCCCCCCTCCTGGTGCGCCCAGGTGGATTGTGCCCACTTGGTGGCCCCGCTGACCCTATCTCCGACGCTATAAAATCCTATTTTCGGGAAAAAAATTAGAGAAAAAGAATTATCGCGTTTCACGAGATGGAGCCGCCGCCACCTCCTGTTCTTCATTGGGAGGCCAGATATGGAGCCCATTTGGGGCTCCGGAGAGGGGAATCTTTGATCTTCGTCATCACCAACCCTTCTCCATCGCCAATTCCATGCTCCCCACTGGGAGTGAGTAATTCTTTCGTAGGCTCGCTGGTCGGTGAGAGAGTTATATGAGATTCATCATGTAATCGAGTTAGTTTTGTTAGGGCTTGATCCCTAGTATACATTATGTTCTGAGATTGATGTTGCTATGACTTTGCCATGCATAATGCTTGTCACTTTGGGCTAGGATGCCATGATCTCGGATCTGAACCGTTTATGTTTTCACCATTATATCTATGTTCTATGTCCGATCTTACAAGTTATATGCACCTCATACGTGTTATGATCCGCAAATCCTGGAGTGACAATAGTCGGGATATTTTCAGGTGATGCCGTAGTTTGAGGAGTTCATGTATTCACTATTTGTTAATGCTTTGTTTCAATGCTCTATTAAAAGGAGGCCTTAATATCCCTTAGTTTCCTTACGAACCCCGCTGCCACGGGAGGGTAGGACAAAAGATTCCATGCAAGTTCTTTCCATAAGCACGTATGACTATTTACAGAATACATGCCTACATTATATTTATGAACTAGTGCTAGATTTCTACCGCCTTAGGTTATGAATGTTATATGATGAATATCATCCAACGAATTCACCGATCCAATGCCTACAAGTTTTTCAGATATTATTGTTATTGCTACTGTCACAATTGCTACAAAATTATTGCTATCACTGTTACTGTTACTACTGTTGTTACCACTGCCATCAAAACTATCATATTACTGTGCTACTAATCACTTTGATGCAGATAATTAATCTCCAACTGTGGTTGAATTGACAACTCAGCTGCTAATACTTGCAAATATTCTTTGGCTCCCCTTGTGTCGAATCTATAAATTTGGATTGAATACTCTACCCTCGAAAACTATTGCGATCCCCTAAAAACTTGTGGGTTATCATGCCTCACATCACCCTCGTCAAGAAAGAAGCTGAGGAGGAGGCCATGGTGTAGGAACTAGGCCATGGCCATAAGAAGAAGAGGGCGGCAGGGAAGAAGAGGGCTCTCGTTGCAGGGGAACCTCGATGCTCGAAGCGCCCGAAGCTGTTGAAAATCAACTAAAGCTAGCGCTGATGCAATGAAGATGCTTGAAGAAGAGCTTACGTATGCTAGTATATTGCAGCATATAAGTTAGAAATATTTTGGGCATGTTGCTTAGGTGTGCTCCTATATTTGAGCACATAAGTTAAGTAGTGAACAAAGTACTATGGTATGCTATGGATCATGTCAACCAGTTTAATGTCTGATCTGCTAGTGGAGTTTGATGTGAACAAGTATTGCTCTACTATGCTATGGATGATGATGTTTTATTTCCTTTAAATTACTGCCATTGTTGCTGTGATGTGCTCCTATGTTGGTGTGATGTGCCATTTTTGCTATGTTTTTTTTGCTACAACTTTCCAAAAAAGAGAATGCAACATTGTGTAGGCAAATAATTTGCATTGTACCAAAATAGGATGTACACTGATGCCTCCTCATGCAAATTCAGATAATTGAATTTGCACTTAGAACCAAATTTTGTTAGCTGGACAAATCACTTAGCTATTCACACTTACACACAAATTAAGTTAAACTGGATAAAGTAACTTTCAATTAACTAAAAAATCCAGTTAGCTCATTTCGATAAAGTAACTTACCTTCAGAATTCAGTTAACAGAAATAATTCAGTTAACTGAAATAATTTAGTTTACTGAAAGAATTCAGTTAACTGAGAAACAGCAGTAAACTGAAACAGTATTAAACAACAGTTCAATTATCTTTCTGTCAAATTTTCAGTTAAGGGGATAAATCCACTTACCTGTCAATAGTGAGACATTTTGGTACTATTCAGTTAAGGGGATAAATTTAGTAAACTATAATACAGGATCAAAAATACAGGATCAATAACTGATTCACTTGAACTATAACACTTTCAGCCAAATCCAGTTAACTGGATAAAATTCAGTTTAAATTTAACACTTTCAGGCATATTTAGTAAACTGGGTAAAAATCATTTAAATTTTAACAGTTTCAAACAAATCACTTAAATTTTAACACTTGCAAGTTACTAGAGTTCACATATGCTGCATTACACACATTACTCAAGTTCACACATACTGCATTACAGAAAGTACTTCTGCCAGTTCACACAAATCACTTAAATATCTCTGCCAGTTCATCAAATTAGAGCTACTACAACTTTTTACAATAACATTGCACATCATCACTCAAATTCATCAGCATCTCCTTTAGCTTGCTTATCTAGCCCTTGGTTTCCTCCTTATGCTTGAAAAGATCACCCATCGTATACTCCAACTTCTTTTTATCTTACTTTAGCTGATCTCTCTTCAACACCAAACTGTCCCTCTCTTCCATTAATTTTCCCTCTCCTGCTGCATTAGGTCCCTCTCTTTCTCTACCATGGCCCTCACAACCTGATGAATATTTGTGACAGATTTGTCACAAATTTTCTTCTTCCCAAGTTCTTGCTTCAGGTCTGTCAAAGCAAGCTGTGTGTTGCCTAGTTAGGCCAATGCCTGCTCTTTGTGAGCTAACATTTTTTATAAAATCAACCTTAAAAAACCTCAACTCCTTTTCCATCTTCTCCTTATCTCCCAGGATCTTGAAATTTCTTCTGCATTAACTACATTTTGCCTCAGCCTCAGCTTGTTCTCATCCTCATACATGTCCCAAATCCTAGCTGGGCTCATCTTCAAAGGGGCAAGCCACTCAGGGTCAACCCACTCAACATAGTTGCATTTAGGTGCTTCCTATCAATTGAAAAAAGAGAAATTTACAATTAGGCCTAAACAGAAACCAATAGAGAATTCACATAAACCCGTGCAAAAATTAAGTTATGTGCACAAATGGTGACATATTTGTAAAATGAAAACACTTAAGTTCAGAAAGGCAGTTAACTAACCAAATGCAGTTAACAATTAACATAATAACTGAAAAAGCTCAGTTATCTATCCACACTGCACAAATTCAGTTAACAGTTAACATAATAACTGCAAAAGATTATTATCTATTCACACTGCACAAATTCAGTTAACTATTCAAAATGAAAAAATCCAGTTGAATGTTAACTCCGAACAAATTCAGTGAATTGCAGAATCACTGTGCTAACTAAAAACCTAATGATTACACAAAAACACTGGCATAGTCATCAACACTTGAAACACACTACGCAGATCAAGCAATAGAAAGCTATGCAAAATGAATAATTAGCTACTAACCTTATGTGCACAAGCTAAGAACCTCCTACCACTCCTCCACTGAAGAAAATGCCACCAGCTTCTCACACACAGCTAGGTGCTCACATCTAGAAGCAAATTCAGTAGCAAGGACTTTCCATTCCGAGCAGAAAATGGTGGCAGGTGCCTACAACAAAAACAAATAGGCCTCTTCGGTCAAATTCCCAATTTTCTTGCCTGAACCTAACCCTAGCTGCATCACCAAGGGGGCTAACCTAACTGTGACGGAGTCGCCGTCAAACGAGGAGCTCGAGAGATCATCCCACGAGACCATGAGGGGGAGCTAGATTGCGGCTGAAAGCTTGACGCTGGCAGCAAGCTAGGAGCAGGGAGCTGGAGATGGGGAACATAACAGAGAAGCGATGGGCGAGCGCGAAGGGGATTTGAGACAAATTTAATTCAGGTGCCCCTATAGCGCGGGTTAATTAGACAAAACGGTAGGGTATTTTCTGTAGAAGTGTTGGCGACGACCGGTCCGGCCATCTAGCTGCGAATTGTCGCGCTGTGATAGGCCGGGGACCAAATCAAACACATCCAATGCAAGCTGGTGTATGATGAAGTTGCATTTTATAAGTTTAAGACTAAATTATCACATTTCATGCAAGTTGGGATACCTGTGGTGCTTTTAACTTTCCATAATCTAAACCAGCGTGACGCATTCAGGTAAACAAGGGGCAGATGAACCACATCACGTAGCGGCGATACCCTGTCCTTGTCACATGCGGAAACTTCAAAGGTTGTCGTTATCTCACTTTTCTACTCAAAGCAGCCTCTGATATTTGCGGTGTGGCGCCCACATAAACGCAGGGCATGCCTTTCGCTTTAGGTGTTATAAATGGTTGATTGACCAATCCCTAGCACGCTGTCCGTCTTTTAGCCGGCGAAAGCAGCACAAGGTGGCAATATCAAAACCCACAAACAAACACAATAGCTCCAGGAGATGCAGCAGATGCATGTACGTACGCAGGGCTTTCCTTTGCCGAGAACAAAGCGTCAAGCCTACTTGCTCCACAATTAGTACGTTTTTTCAAGAAAAAGGGCCGAACTGCTCCACAAGTTGCAGTGCTAGCTTACCATTATTAGCTCACTTTCTTACCAAAACTACTTATCATATTTGCAAGATTCTATTCCGAGTCCATGCATGTTGTATTGCGCTTCTAGATTCCTCGAGGAGCCGCTCAGTAGTAGCTCGTGATTTTTCAATTTATATTGGCCGACCATTTTGAAAGAAGGTAGCCAAATAGCTGAGGCAAGCTAAAAATATCTCATAATCTTCGTAGCATTGGCAGGATAGAACACAGGCGATGGCACAAGTCACTACAAGGCACAAAACTAAGAACATAACAGAAGAGCAAAGATAAACTGTTCAACATTATTTGATGGGCAACGTGCGTGCTGCTGCTGCTGCTACTACTACTGATGCAGGCGTGGCTTTGGTCGGTCTGTCTACTGGGGATTGGGTGGCCTGGAGTTGGCAGCAGAGACCCTGGAGCCCCATTCCAGAAGCTCTTTGCTGGTGTCGTCCTTGTGCGCGATCACCTCGATGAAGCAGAGAGAGTCCTCCTTCTCCCCCAGCGCCATCTCGATCGCCGCCGTCAGCTCCTCCTCGCACTTCACCTGCGCCAACACAAAAGCATGCGTCAGCAGCAGTTCTGCAAGCTCGCCTCCTTCTTCTCTGATGCTTGCGCAATGGACAAAAGAGTGCGTGCTTACCTTGGCAGTCCAGCATTTGCCCTCCCCGTTGTGGATGGCCTCCACAAGGGCGGTGTAGTTCCAGTTCTTGATGACGTTGTAAGGTCCGTCGTGGATCTCCACCTCGATGGTGTACCCGCCATTGTTGATCAGGAAGATTATGCTGTTCTGTTCGCACCGCAGCATAGTCGACACATCCTGTGCTGTCACCTGCAGACAACGGAATCCCCCGGACATCACATTAGAAACAGCACATAGTGCAATATATATTGCAGCACACGGCAGCAGAGATCATCAGATCGAGGGATATCTCACCTGGAAGCTCCCATCACCAATGCAGGCTATAACACGCTTATCGCTTGCGCCTTGCGCGTACCCGAGCAATGCACCCACCGACCATCCAATCGAGCCATACTGCATTTGGAATTCATACCTGCAGCGTGCGAACAAACAACCCTGCTTAGCACAACAAGACAAAGACAAACAAGGAGGAAACATGCACCATCACAACATTGTGGAATCAGGAAAGCTCACCCGCAGCCCTCGGGCAGCTTCAGCTTCTGGCAGTTGAACCAGGAGTCACCGGTCTCAGCGAGCACTGCACTGTCACCCGTCAGCATGTCCTGGATGTGCTTGAAGAGCACATTGACACGCAGCGGCTCGTTCGCCTCGCCCTTCAGCGGATGGCCCTCAGGCACGAAGATCCTCTTGTAGTTCTCGTAGGCGGTGGTGTTCTTCTGAACCCGCTTGGCCAATGCAGACAGGTACTCCTTCATCATGACGCAGCCGAATGCCGGGCCGTTCCCAACGATGACACGCTCAGGCTGCACGATGATGGCCTTGTCCTTCTTGAGCAGGAACGAGTAGCCAACAGAGCTGTAGTCGTTGAAGATGGGGCCTGCGAAGAGGTAGGCGTCGGCCGACTCGACAATCTCGGCGCAGAAGGCCGTGCTGACGGCGCCCCAGTAGGTGCCGAGGAAGTGGGGGTGCGTCTCTGGCACAAAGCCCTTGGCCGATGGCATTATAGCATAGGCATAGCCACTGGCATCCACAAGGTCGACGAAGGCCTTCCCCGCCTTGGCCACGCGGAGTTTGGGGCCGGCCACAAGCACCGGCTTCACCGCCTTGTTCAGGAACTCGACAGTTGCCTCCACTGCAGCCTCGAGCCCCATCTTGTTGCTCATCCTGTAATTTTTCACAACACAGTTCAGTTCATCAGATGGCTTCAAATACAATCATATTACAACAATACTCTGTTCAGTGCGTCGGTCACTTCAGATACAGATAGCATCAAAATTCACGATCTGAAATTCTCAATGCTAATGATTCAACTGGGCACATTTTTGTGGTGATAAAATCTTAAGCTGCCAGCAGGTAGTACTAGTACATGCAAATCAAGAGTTAAGACCTACTCCTACATAATTGGGGGGAAACGTTCCATGATCCAAGATAAAGTGTTGGCACAATAATCGGGAAAAAAGACTCTGATGAGATTCAAAACACTATACATACACGGAAACGACAACTCGGAAGAAGAACAGAGTAGGGGCAGTTGGTACCTCGGGGCGAGGAAGAAGGGGACTGGGTCACGGGTAAAGGTGGGGTGAGGTAGGCCGGGGAGGTTGCAGCTGATGCTAAGGTACACCGGCTTGCTCTCCCTGAGCGCCGTCGCGATGGCCGTGTCGATCTGCTCGTGCGCGTCATCCAGGTTGGTCACCACCGCCTGAATCGACAAACAACGACAGACCAACCAGATCGAGTCAACAAATTAGAGGGAGGAATCTAATGAGGAAGGGGCAATGCATGTTGAGGGAACGCGCGTGCGTACCTGGTGGCAGGTGACGGTCTGGAAGCAGCGTAGCTCCTGTGAGAAGTCCGGGATGCCGATGGTGTGGTGGAGGATGCGGTTGGTGCCGTAGTCGTTGGAGTTGGGCCCGCCGGCGATGCAGATGACGGGCAGGTTCTCGCTGTAGGCGCCGGCGATGGCGTTGAGCACGCTGAGGCCGCCGACGGTGAAGGTGACCGCGCAGGCGCCGACGCCGCGGGCCCGCGCGTAGCCGTCGGCCGCGTACCCCGCGTTGAGCTCGTTGCAGCAGCCGACGAGGCGCAGCCCGGGCTCGTCGACGAGGTGGTCGAGCAGCGTGAGGTTGAAGTCCCCGGGCACGGCGAAGACGTCGCTGACGCCGACCTGCACGAGGCGGCGCGCGAGGTGGCGCCCCAGCGACGCCTCGCCGGGGGACACCACCGGGTGGGAGGACATGATCGGGCACCCCGGCGCGGACGCCGGGCAGCCCACCGCGCCGTTCACCGCCGCCGGCGACGGCCCGTCGACGGACCCGATGTGGGTGTCCATCGCTGTCGATCGACCGATCCGGGTGGTACACTGGTGGAGTGGGAGCGGCGGCGGAGGGGACGTGGGGTTTTGGGGAATATTCTAGGCCTTCGTGGGGATTTCGTTAACCTGTTCCGTTGACGTGTGCTGGTTTGGTGGTCTTCTGGGAGGGGCGGCCGTCCTCCATTTATACCTGGGCTTGGCTTGCGGACGGGATGGGAATGGGGATTGGGGTTTCGTGGGAAGACGGGGGTGGTCGTGCAAAACTCGCCTGCTTTCTTCGGGGAAAGGAAAACCACGGGCGGCGGTGGGAACTGGCCCGGCGCGCAGCGCACCCATCTCGGCCACTGCCCAGTGGGGTCGGAGCATTATGTAGGTTCACGTGTCAGTGGGACAAGGCTAGAATGTCTGTTCATTATATTTGCCGCAGGCAATGAATGCTCTTTCGTTTTTGGTGGCGATCTTCCCTTCCTTCCCTGGGGCTGGGCTGGGGCTGGGGCTGGGGCTGGGCGTGCGACAGCGGTTTTGGTTTGTGGCGCAAGTCGCGGTTTTGGGTCTTGTTTGCTGCGCAAGGTGGACAGGCACACACGGGTCGGACTCGATTCAGCGGCGACGGTCCGTCCGGAACCTGCCGACCTGCCCTGCCTGGTCGGGTGTGCAACGCGGCCGTGGAGGCGAGACCAACTCGTGCACGGACGATGGTGAACCGCACCGCACTGTCATGCTTGAATGCCCAGAGGTGGAGTCCGGTCGCCGTACGTCAATGACCTCCGAAAGATACAGTAAACGCAGACACAGACACATGTGTGTCACTGACATTCTGGACCCAGTCATGAACAAGTCACCAGCCAACCGTGCACGCCACGTCAACGTGAGGTACCAAAACCAAGGACCGTATTGGGCCACCGCTGTCAGCGCAGAGACTAACACCACTTAAGGAGAGGAGCACGGCATCCAGAGAATCACGACATTATTTATGAGAAATCTGCCGGCCTTGTTGTGCGGCCTCCGATGAAGGTGGCGGTGAGGCTCAGCTACCTTGCCCCTCTGCAGGGAGCCCCGGAAGCCCAGGGCTGCGGGTGAAGATGGCGGCACGGGAGTTGGCCATCCCTTCCAGCCGGGTGGGCTGCCGTAGGGTGGCGGAGGTCCTTCGTGGCTGCGGGATGATCCAATGGCTCCGCCGGATGGCCCCTCCCTTTGTTGCGGCCCGTCTAGCAAATCTAGCTGTTGGGTGTGGGCTGGCAGGAGCTCTGGAACGGGGAAACCCTTGGGCTAGTTCGTGTCGACCTTGACGACGTCGATGCCCCCTGCGCTCGTTCCCTCCTGAGGGCGCATTGAGCTTTCGGAACTCGACACTCTTCTTCCTTCCCCGCACTCCCAGATGAAAACCTTGGCCTTTTGGGCCAGACGACGACGGCGTTCCAGCAACGTGGTCCTTCTTGGAGGCGTCGTCCTAGGAATGGGTGGAGGCTGTGGTTGTGGTGCTTCGTGGTCGGTGGCGGTGGTGGCGCGTTGCTCTCTAGGCCGCTGGTGGTGTGGAAGATCCCATAAATTTTTTGGCACCCCTCCGAAAATTTTGGACGCATCCCGAAACTTTCCGGCTTGATGGTTTGCTCTAAAACAAATTTTGGTTTCTCCAAAACACTTTTGTTTTCTCTCTGGAACATTTTCAATGCCTCTGAAACTTTTCCGGTGACTTTCTCTCAGGCTCGTAATGTAGTACTCAGCGGGTAGATGACCCTTAAGCGTGTGACCATGTAGGTTCGATGAAATATAGACATGACTGGAACTCTTTTCGGTTAATGATCAATTGCGGAACTGTGAACATCCATATTGATCCCTACACCCACACAAATGGATATCCGAGTGAACCTATAGTTACCTGTGTTATTCTTGTTGCTTCGCGATATGTTACAAAAAAACTGAGGTGAGATTTATCGACATCCCCGTGAATCAACAACTTGTTCACTATCCTAGTTTCCCCGTTGCCAATTTTGTTCTCTTTTCTCGTTTCCATGTTCTGGCATCCCCGTGATAAAATCATGTTGGATATGTTCAGATGATGATGGATATGTTGGAAATATGCCCTAGAGGCAATAATAAAAGCATTATTATTATATTTCCTTGTTCATGATAATTGTCTTTATTTATGCTATAATTGTGTTATCCGGAAATCGTAATACATGTGTGAATAACAGACATCAACATGTCCCTAGTGAGCCTCTAGTTGACTAGCTCGTTGATCAACAGATAGTCATGGTTTCCTGACTATGGACACTGGATGTCATTGATAACGAGATCACATCATTAGGAGAATGATGTGATGGACAAGACCCAATCCTAAACATAGCACAAGATCGTATAGTTCGTTTGCTAGAGTTTTCCAATGTCAAGTATCTTTTCCTTAGACCATGAGATCGTGTAACTCCCGGACACCGTAGGAGTGCTTTGGGTATGCCAAACGTCACAACGTAACTGGGTGACTATAAAGGCAGACTACGGGTATCTCCGAAAGTGTCTGTTGGGTGACATGGATCAAGACTGGGATTTGTCACTCCGTATAACGGAGAGGTATCACTGGGCCCACTCGGTAATGCATCATCATAATGAGCTCAGAGTGACCAAGTGTCTGGTCACGGGATCATGCATTACGGTACGAGTAAAGTGACTTGCCGGAAACGAGATTGAACGAGGTATTGGGATACCGACGATCGAATCTCGGGCAAGTAACATATCGATAGACAAAGGGAATAGCGTACGGGATTGATAGAATCCTCGACATCGTGGTTCATCCGATGAGATCATCGTGGAGCATGTGGGAGCCAACATGGGTATCCAGATCCCGTTGTTGGTTATTGACCGGAGAGTCGTCTCGGTCATGTCTGCTTGTCTCCCGAACCCGTAGGGTCTACACACTTAAGGTTCAGTTACGCTAGGGTTGTAGGGATATGTATATGCAGTAACCCGAATGTTGTTCGGAGTCCCGGATGAGAACCCGGACGTCACGAGGAGTTCCGGAATGGTCCGGAGGTAAAGATATATATATGGGAAGTCCTGTTTCGGGCATCGGGACAAGTTTCGGGGTTATCGGTATTGTACCGGGACCACCGGAAGGGTCCTGGGGGTCCACCGGGTGGGTCCACCTGTCCCGGGGGCCACATGGGCTGTAAGGGGGTGCGCCTTGGCCTAATGGGCCAAGGGCACCAGCCCCACATAGGCCCATGCGCCTAGGGTTTAAAGGGGAAAGAGTCCTAGGAGGGGAAGGCACCTCCTAGGTGCCTTGGGGGGGAGGGAAACCTCCCCTTGGCCGCCGGCCATAGGAGATTGGATCTCCTAGGCTGCGCACCACCCCCCCTTGGCCCTCCTATATATAGTGGGGGAGAGGAGGGACTTCATACCTGAACGCCCTGGCCTTTGGTTGCCTCCTTCTCCCTCCCCAACACCTCCTCCACCTCCATAGTGCTTAGCGAAGCTCTGCCGGAGTACTGCAGCTCCATCAACACCACGCCGTCGTGCTGCTGCTGGTGCCATCTCCCTCAACCTCTCCTCCCTCCCTTGCTGGATCAAGAAGGAGGAGACGTGGCTGTTCTGTACGTGTGTTGAACGCGGAGGTGCCGTCCGTTCGGCGCTGGTCATCGGTGATTTGGATCACGTCGAGTACGACTACATCATCACCGTTTTTTTGAACGCTTCCGCTCGCGATCTACAAAGGTATGTAGATGCATCTAATCACTCGTTGCTAGATGAACTCCTAGATGATCTTGGTGAAACGAGTAGGAAATTTTTTGTTTTCTGCAACGTTACCCAACAGTGGCATCATGAGCTAGGTCTATGCGTAGTTCTTCTTGCGCGAGTAGAACACAATTTGTTATGGGCGTAGATTTGTCAACTCTCTTGCCGTTACTAGTCCTTTCTTGCTTCAGCGGTATTGTGGGATGAAGCGGCCCGGACCAACCTTACACGTACGCTTACGTGAGACCGGTTCCACCGACTAACATGCACTAGTTGCATAAGGTGGCTGGCGGGTGTCTGTCTCTCCTACTTTAGTTGGAGCGGAATCGATGAACAGGGTCCTTATGAAGGGTAAATAGAAGTTGACAAATCACGTTGTGGCTTTAACGTAGGTAAGAAAACGTTCTTGCTAGAACCCTAATTCAGCCACGTAAAACTTGCAACAACAATTAGAGGACGTCTAACTTGTTTTTGCAGCAAGTGGTTTGTGATATGATATGGCCAAAGTTGTGATGAATGATGAATGATCTATATGTGATGTATGAGATGTTCATGCTATTGTAATAGGAATCACGACTTGCATGTCGATGAGTATGACAACCGGCAGGAGCCATAGGAGTTGTCTTTATTCTTTTATATGACCTGCGTGTCATCAAGAAACGCCATGTAAATTACTTTACTTTATTGCTAAACGCGTTAGCCATAGTAGTAGAAGTAATAGTTGGCGAGCAACTTCATGGAGACACGATGATGGAGATCATGATGATGGAGATCATGGTGTCAAGCCGGTGACAAGATGATCATGGAGCCCCAAGATGGAGATCAAAGGAGCTATGTGATATTGGCCATATCATGTCACGTTTATTATTTGATTGCATGTGATGTTTATCATGTTTTGCATCTTGTTTACTTAGAACGACGGTAGTAAATAAGATGATCCCTCACAATAAATTCAAGAAGTGTTCCCCCTAACTGTGCATCATTGCGACAGTTCGCTGTTTCAAAACACCACGTGATGATCGGGTGTTTTATTCAGACGTTCACATACAACGGGTGTAAGACAGATTTACACATGCAAACACTTAGGTTGACTTGACGAGCCTAGCATGTACAGACATGGCCTCGGAACACAGAAGACCGAAAGGTCGAGCATGAGTCGTATAGAAGATACGATCAACATGAAGATGTTCACCGATGTTGACTAGTCCGTCTCACGTGATGATCGGACACGGTCTAGTTTAACTCGGATCATGTAATACTTAGATGACTAGAGGGATGTCTAATCTAAG